AAGCCTTCAAGCTCAGTTTCATATTAAATATTACAGTAGTGGCTATCACCAACTTTCATGTTACATTGCCACAAAAGGACCTCACCCCTCTCCTTGTGCGGTTAAAAGTGAAGAGTACAGTGTTGCTTGTGTTTCTACTGTGCGAGTTCTAAGTTCTCTTCACTCACCTTGGCTCTGCAGTTCGTGTTGCAACCTTATGCAATTTTTATGTGACCTTGCAGCATGCAAATTTGTATATGGCAAATATGATGTAGTATTTCTGCTGTATATTTGATTTTTTTATTATAAAAAAAATGTGTCTCTTAGGCATATTCACATTCTTGCAGAGCATCTGTTAAAATCTCAATTCCATCTGTCTGCACAGTTGAAAAAGTCAAGAAGGGCTGAACATATTTTCATTAAATTTGAAATTGGAATAGTTTTAATATTGTCAGCATGTTCCAGGTTTGGTTGAAATTAACAATAATGGGAACTTTAGATGAAGACCTATATACATTTGTGTGTGTGCTGATTAAATGTCAGATTCTGTTGGATGCAACAGAATTGTTAAGCTGTAAAATTAAATTAAATCCGTGGCGTAATAGCTCCAGAGAGCCAAATCCGACTAGCTTGACTGTTGGCCTTACGTTCACATGCCTAAGCAGAGGTGAACGATCATCCAACCAGATACAGGTTGACGTGTGGTCAGCACGACGAACGCCCAGCCATTGCTAGTTTTCATGACCGGATTACGCTACCCATTGTAGCTCCCCAATTTCCTCACGATGCTGGGTTGGCACCGGTTCCATACACTGGTTGAAAGTTCATGAGAAAATTTCTTCTCCCCCGAGACTCGAACCAGCACGCATTCCGTATCGCTGGTCCGAAGCATGATGCCTCAGACCGCGCGGCTACATACATACATTAACTAACATTTTTTCTGGAGCTGTATCTGCTTGTCCACAGAATGACATCTTACAGCGATTAAAATGCTTTTTGGTACCATACATTGTGAAGAAACATGTACACATTCTAAGTGACATGAGTATGTTGTGATCCTTGTGAAACCTTGGGCTTAGACCCAGCTGTTTATAAGAGGAATTTAGTCAAATGTACCAGTAGAATTGGTAGGTAGTGTGTAGAATTTTCGTATTTCCTGAGAATGTTAACTTCACACTCTGGAAAACATGACATTGTGGCTTTTATTTCTAATGTTTAAGTTAACCTCCTCCGTTTATCCTGTGAAGCTGGCTGAATGTGAATTGTGAGCTGTTGGAAAATGTTTGTAGGGAACATTAATCACCACTTAGAGACATAACAGGATTATTTCAGCACTTGAAAGAGTAGATTTTGTTAGTGACAGGATGTCCTATGAAATTCTAAAGGGTCATTGGTGTGTTATCTTTGTACTGAATGTGCCTGCCTCGACTGAAGATAAAGATGACATGAAGGATAACATTTATGAAGAACTAGAACACTTGTTTGGCCGGTTCCCTAGGTACCATATGAAAATTTTGCTAGGAGATTTTAATGTGAAGGTTGGGAGGGAGGACATTTTTAAAAGGATTATTTGTAAGGAAACTCTACATGAAATTAGTAATGATTATGGGGTCAGAGTATTAAATTTGACAGAAAGTAGCAAACAAGGCAAAAGTTTGATTTAGAAGGCTTTGATGAGAAGAAACTCAGTGATGTAGAAGTTAAGGGAAGGTACCAAATAGAAATCTGCAATAGATTTGAGGCTTTAAAGAACTTAGATGACAATCTGGATATTAATAGTGGTTGGGGGGACAGTATCAAGACCTCAGCGAAGGAAAATTTAGGATATCACAAACTAAAGCATAATAAACAATGGTTTGATGATAAAAATTAATAGACAAAAGGAAGCAGGCAAAAAAAACAGTGGTTTCAAAACCCAAGCCAAATCAATGGACATAATCTGCAAAAATTAAGACTTGAAACCATTGGAACGTTTGTGAAGAAGAAAGGGAATACCTGAAAAACAAAATGAATGAACCTGAAACTAATTACAGAAACAAAAGCATTAGTGATCTATACAGAGGCATATTTAAGAAAGGTTATCAACCTAGAGTTAATGTTGTCACAGATGAAAATAGTTATCTGCTTGCAGATTCCTACAGCATTTGTAATAGGTAGAAAAATTTCTTTAACCAGATGTTAAATGTTTATAGGGTTCGTGACATTACACAGATAGATACACATACGGCTGAGCCATTAGTGCCAGATCCTAGCCTTGTCGAATTGGAAACTGCTACTGAGGAGTTTAAAAAGGATAAATCACTGGGTACTGATCAGATTTGGGCCAAATTGATCTGAGCTGGAGGGAAAGCATTGCGTTCCGAGATACATAAACTTATTCGCTCTATATGGAAGAAGGAGGAAATGCCACAGTGGAAGGAATCTTTTTTGTACCATTTCATAAGAAGGGTGATAAGACTGATGTAATAATTATCAAGGAATCTCCCTTTTATCATCTGCCTACGAAATTTTATCCAATATTCTTCTGGCGAGGTTGACTCCATACGTCAATAAAATTATTGGGTTCCATCGTAATAGATCTGATCAAATTCTCAACATTTGCCAGATACTAGAGAAGAAGTGGGAGTACAATAGGTCAGTCCATCAACTATTTATAAATTTCAAGAAAACCAGTGACTTAGTAAAAAGAGAAGCTCTTTACAATATTTTTCTTGAATTTTTTGTACCTGAGAAGCTAATCAGGCTAATTAAAATGTGTTTAAGTGAAACTTGTAGCAAAATTCATGTAGGTAAACATTTGTCCAATACATTTCCTATTCAGAATGGCTTGAAATGGAGATGCTCTTTCACCGCTGCTTTTCAGTTTTGCCTTAGATTATTCCATCGGGAAAGTCCTAGAATATCAGGGTAATTTGGAATTGAATGAGACACATCAGCTTTTGGTCTATGCCGATGATATTAATCTGTTGGGCAATAATGTAAATATTATAAAAACGAACACAGAAACACTTAAGGGCTAGTAGGGATGTAGGTCTAGAAGTAAATGCAGAAAAAACAAAGTATATGATATATCTCAGCATCAGAATTCAGGACAGAACCAGAATATAAGAATAGGTAATGAATTGTTAGAAAATGTGACAAAATTCAAGTACTTTGGGACTACACTGACAAGTCAGAATCACATTCATGATGAAATCAAGAGCAGATTAAATTCAGGGAAATCTTGTTATCATTCAGTCCATAATCTGTTCTCTTCCCATCTCATATAAAAATACTAAAGGTTAAAATATACTAAAGTGTGCTTTTGCCAGCTGTGCTGTGTGGGTGCGAAACTTGGTGTGTCACTTTGAGGGAGGAACATAGATCAAGGGTCTTTGAGGTCAGAGTGTTAAGGAATATATCTGGACCTAATAGGGAGGTAGATGGATGATGGAGAAAATTATATTATGATGAGCTTCATGGGCTGTACTCCTCACCTGATATTGTTAGGGTGATTTAGTCGAGGATGATAAGGTGGGCGGACACGCATGGGGGAGGGGATGGGTGTTTACAACGCATTGGTTGTGAGACCTGAATGGAGGAGACCGCTGAGAAACCTAGATGTAAGTGGGAGGATAACATTAAGGTGGACCTTAAGGAGATAGGAATCAGAGCAAATTGGACTCGACTAGCTCTGGTGGATTTTGTGAACATGATGATGAACTTTCATGTTCATAAAGAAAATGGGCTATTCTTTCACAAGCCGAATATACAGTTGACTTTTCAAAGAATTTCCTGCACCATGGAGTGGAAAATGTTTGTTTTGGCCTGTCGTAAGGTGCATTCACATTCATATATCAGTAATGCAAACAAGCTATCATCATCATCATCTTGAATTGGTTAGTTTTAATTTTGTCTCAGTACTGGTGCCCCGTGTATTTTAGTAGGGTTTCCTAGCTTCTTTGTTGTTCTAATAAAGTTTAGCCAAGAAGATAATTGTTTAAGAGAATTTTGCTTATTTAAAAATTTTCAGCTGCTGGTTGCTCATTAGTAATTAAAGACATACAAATCCCAGGGTTGTAACAGGGAAAATGATACATTGACTAGTTGATGGTATTAACTGATAAGTAGTGGGTTTATCACATTTTATAGATCAATTTATTATGACATTTCTTCTCTATCAGTCCATATAACAGTAAGAGATGTGAGCCTGATACATCACAGTTATCTTGTAATTTTAGATTTCATTTTTTAGCAGAGCTTCACATTGCATACTAGCAGAGCCTCTGCTGATGAATTGATACATGTTTCTCTAATGCATTGTAACTTCCCTTATTTTGAATAAGACTCTTGAAGTGCTTCTAGCAGGTGTTTTATCTTGAAGCAATATATGAAAGAGATAGCTGCTTAAAGTAAACCATATATCAGAAAAATGATACAAAACCATGTGCAATACCAGATTCTTACAGTCTGGTATCATAAGATTTTTTATGGGTAGGTTTGTTAGGCTGTAGCTTTACAAACACATTGAAGATACAATGATATTTTGGGACTTCAGATTGTGCGCTGTTGTCTAATTTCTACCCATCTGATACATTATTTATGTGTTTTTTGTACAATACCACCCTTGTATGAAACTTTGCTGCAGGGATATTTTTGCCTTATATTTTGTCCACAATGAATGCTTCATAAAAATACTTGCTTATTCTGTATTTTATATGACACTGCACTTAAATTAATTTTCAATAGAACTGAGGAGTTTTTTACCATCTAGACTGTAGTCCAAGTAACTTTTCTGAATATATGATATGCAAGTAGCTGGGCAGTGGTGGCTTTATGTGAAGAAATAAATGACTAGTCACAGTTTACCAATTAATGGTACTCCCTTTAGTGCCATTTTCTTCTTTTTTTATACACAACTTATACCAAGTTTTCTTACTTTAACCATCTGTTTCTAAGTGAAGGCCTCAAAATATTTTTGAATTTGGTAGAAGTATGCAGACACAAATAAATAAGTTCTCCATGTTTGTGTATGATTGCAGTGTGCGTGAAACCCACCAAATTGCAGAAGCACAACAGGAGAAGAATGCTAAGTTGAGAGAGGCATTTGGCATATCAGAGTACTTTGTGGAGGGGAGCAGTTTGGACCCACAGCGGCATGTGAAGGAAGCACAGGCGAAGGCTGCAGCCGAACAGAATAAGAAATACACATTGGTGCGAACACCGAGTCCTGTTGCTGTTGCTGACACAGACAAGGATAAGGACAAAGAAAGTTCTGATAAGAACAAGAAAAGAAAGAGGAGAACAAGGGAAAGGTAGGTCAAAATTTTGATAGACTTGTTTGTGTACCGCTGAAATTAATTAATATTATGTAATGAAGTCCCATTTTTGTTTGGTTTGTTAAGCATTCTTCAGCTCATATGTGGAAAGCCATGTAGTAATTTCCTTGTAATACACGCTTTATAAATTGATAAATTATAAGCTGTTAGGAAATTATATAAGTCTTCAAGCTATCATGGCGATACTGCAAAATAATTTTGAATTAACTGGAAAGGATGTCACAAGAAGCAGTTATGTCCTGTTGTAAGGAATTGTTCTGCTATTATTTTTATGATAGGCCTGGAAGCCATGAAACATCTCATGTCAGGATGGCCAGACCTCACTCAGAATTCAAACTGGATACATCCAGAATGTGAGTTAAACACATGCAGTGCTAAGCTACTCATTCCTTTTAAATATTCATATGGGGATTTCTGACTTGGTGTAGGTAGACCATTATTAACAGAACTGCTGAGCATCATACATGAGTTAAAATAGGAGCTCCCAGGCACAAGAACCCAACCTTACTTAACCTATCATGGCAAAGATGATAATTCTGATATATAGTATCAGCAGATGCTACTTAAATGTATTGTATAGCCAGCACAGTAGTTTTTGGCTGGTGGAGAAGCTTGCGGACTGGCCTACTCTGTGTACCTGAGGTGGCACGGTCAGCATATTTCTTTTATTTGGGCTTGCAGTCCAATAAGCTCCTTGTCCTTCCTGGAGGCAGACGAAACATTGTACAAGTGACTCGTTCCTAGCCTTCCCCTTGAAAATTCCACCAGCCATAAACTACTGTGATCACTATACACTAAGTTACAAAAGCAAAATAATTGTCGATTTTTTTTCTGTAATTTTAATTCAGCATAAACCAATGTCATTCATGTTGTTTTTTTATTGTAGTACCATTCTGAATCCTGCAAGCCTGTAACACTAGTCTGATGAATCTGATACTGTATTAACAGTGTGTAAAGCCTGCTTTTGTGAGACATAGGAAGTAACAGTGAAGAAAGTTGAAAATAAGTTGTGTATTTTAAAGAAATAGTACAGTGTCAAAACTTAATATTATGGCCACAAGTCAGAGGAGGATCCACTGCGATGCTGCAAAACCAAACAGGGGGTTTTGTTTGACTGGGTCTTGTTAAGTTTGTGTGATGAGAGAAAACTTTATGAACTCTTCGTAATTTCATCATGATTTTTGTTTTTACTTCTGTTATTCTTATTCACAGAAGTGTCATAAGTTTTTAATGTTAAACATCACTTACATCAGCTACCCTAAAATGATGGTAAGTATGATGATTTTTCTGAAGAAATGTCATTCACAAACCAGTCGTCATTCAATACCTTCAGTAGAGCATATGCTTTTTCTGACATCACTGCCTGTATAATGGTTAATTTGAATTAACTATCTTGAATAAAGATTTTTTCTGTCAATCACATGAAAAGTGTTGAGGATAATAGTCTGGATGCTTTCAACCATCACATTATAAATTTGAATTGAAGTTGCTCATTCATCTGCTGTCAGTACTGTTAGTTCACAGCAGAGCATGACAGGCATGTAGAACAAAACTTCTAATTTTATCTAGAGTTTCCAGAGATAAGAGATTAGTTAAGCACTCTGTATGTTGTATCTCTGACACCTTTAAACTCTTCACTGACTGTAGCTTAAGGCTTTGAAGGACTGAATAATAACATGAATGCCATATTGCCATCAAACATTATTACAATTGGGCCTAAAATTATTTATATCTTTCAGTTCATCAAGCCCTGAAGCCAAGATATCGAAGAAGAAAAAGTCCAAGAAACACAAGAAAGACAGGTACTGTTTCACTGGTTTTACTGTTTGTGAGGGCCGGGATCATCGGGTTTTTGATAAAAAAAAATACTGTTCAAATTCTAGATATCTGAATTGGTACCGTAAGCTTGATTTTTATAATTGAACTGCAATACAAATTTTTCTGTTTCAAACAGAACAATCGGAAGGAATTTTGAATGACAATGTAGGTAAGTTTTGAGGTTTTAGATTCAGAATAAATTAAAAAGAAGTTGAGTCAAGCCATAATCTGTGCATGGAGGAACATTTCTGCTTAGTTTTAAAAATATACACATTTATATTTTGAAGGGCAGACATCATCCATACAATAAATTTTCCTTTTAAGAACACTTCTTTAAAGTGAATGTCTTTAAATTGCTCTTGTATGGTCTTCTGAGTCACTGTAAGATTCCTCCATTATAGTTTAATATATATCACTTAGTTATCATTTTGTATGTAATATATGGTGATATAAGAAAGAGGCTTATGTTGTTTTCAACTGTCTCGTATTCTCTGCTGTAAGAATTTTCTGAAGTACATAAACTAACACAAGAATCATTGTTAACTCATTTCTCTGTCTTTCTGACAAGTCAGTCCTTAATGATGGGTAAAGAAGGTAATAGTATGCCCATAGTCCTTGGTATGAATGTATTTAAAATCAGTCTCATTTTGTTTAATTTATTTTGGGAAAGTTTATGTTATGTTATTTTTAGTACAGTTAAAATGAAGCCATTTGCATTTTATGTAATTAGAGGGGTTGAATAATGTGACCACAGGAACATTGGTGCTATGAACAAATTTTTGTAACATTTTAAATCTTATTACACCGTTGCCTTACAAATATGTCCAGCTTACTTTATGAGGTAACATATTCTCATTTACATGTTATTAATTTCATAGTTGTCATATAGTTTAGACATAATTTAAACTGAATCAATTTTAATAGCACATGAAGCTAAAAATTGCAAGTGCATGGATTCAGTATTTGCCATCTCATTTTGTACATTGTCAAAAATTACTGTGGTGTGTAAAACAAATGTTATGATTAAAAAGTGTTCTGAATTGTGGTCTTTATTTTTTAAAAAAATTATACTTTCTGTGTAAATACTGAACTTGTTTGTAAGGTATATTCAGAATGTGTAAGGGATGTTCACTGATGTTTGTCTATGGTTCATCAACAATCTATTAAACATCTAATATAAATTCAGTTCTGCTATCAATAATTTCAGCTTTGCTGAATTGTGTTTAAAATTACCAACTTTCTTAAATTTATAATTACAAGTGGCTCATACTTCTATCAGAAGCATTTGTATGCTTGTTTGCAGTATTTGGTTTCTTGCATGTGCTAAACATATTGTTGTTTAATTCTTTCATTGGTGTGTTATGTTTTATTACATTACAGTAAAAATACATGACTAATGCTGTTTAAAATCCTTCAGGTTGTCATATCCTTTTGTACCCTTGTTTATCATTTTGTGGCTGAAAATCCATTTCTCTAGGGAGACAAAATATTAAGCAGTATGCAGTAAATGTTAGAGTTATTTACTTATGCTTACATAAGTAAGTAAGTAAGTTGATACGTACAAATGTACTAGCAGAAACATAGGAATTACAGTGCATTAAGTTTTGAACATGACACAACATTTTCCATTGTACAGTTTTTAAATGTTCTCACCCCCTTGCATTGTACTGCTAAAGGATATTTACAAAAGTAATCAGTCTCTTGTTAGTTTTGGCCATAACCAAACTACTTGATTTATGTTACCTCAGTTATCTTACACACATATTTGAAAATTAAGATTTATGTGTTTTACCTCTCAGAAATTGTTTCAGAGTTTGTTACTTTGATTGAAAGTGAACTGTGTAATTAATTTGAATTTTTCACAGTGGCACACTTTTTTTGCATGTAAATTATGTTGATACATTGAGCTCTTATTGTAATTTAGAAGTTCTGAGTAGTGATTACTTTGATTTTTAAATTTGTCCATACACACTGGCTTTTGTCTCTTCATAGTTTTATTTTACAGAAATGAAAATGTTCCTTAACTGGTAAAAATATGAATTGTATGAGTTCTATGTGTTTGTTGATGAAAATGTGGATGAAATCCACATTTTTAAATCTGGTAATGTTCATTCTTACATACTTCATAAATATGATTTTGATCAATCGTTGTAACATTACTGATCCCATGTGTTGCATAGATCTGAGTCACCTAAACATTCAAAGAAGAAGATATCTGCAAAAGATAAAAAGAAGGAAAAGGAGCGTCACAAACGACGAAGATCTTCTTCCTCTTCAGCTGATTCATCATCATCAGTATTAAGTGACAGCTCTGATTCTAGCAGGTGAATATGTTTCCCATTCTTGCAGTTTGTCACTGCACATGGCTGTTTTTACTCTCTTCTGTCCTCTCATAACATTTCCTTTCCTAAATAATCCTGTGCTGTGTATCTCTATGTATTATCTGCTTCTGCTGTCTGTTTCCCCTGTTCTTCATTATTTTGTTCCTGGTTATTCCAGTTGTTGCATTAACCTCTCAGTTTGTGTTGTAAAATTAGTAATAAAAGATAATTATTAATGATGAGTCACAAACAGGTTGATCGTGATTTACTGGGTTATTATGTATGTGTAGTCTCTTAGGTGGAATGTACCACCTCCATTTTAGGGTATGTCCTGCCCATATCATCTTGATCCTTGGATATTGCACAAGAAATACACTGGAAACCAGTGTGTCAGTAATTGCATATTTGGATTATGTGCTGATATAATGCCCTGATATAGACAACAAACTGTCTTCCATATTCTCCGCAGAATCAGCATGACAGTCAACATGGATAAATCTGTTCTGCAACTTGCTTCCTCAGTGCAGTAATTTTGGTTCCAGATCAACATTTCTACAGTATTCATTGGATAGCAGGTCACTCTTCCACTCTCCTAATCAGCACCATCATATCCTACTCACCACTTACTGCCTGTCCTTTATAAGGCTTTCAAACGTGCTCTACCATCACACATTAGAAGCCATCCCTCTACACGCCATGTAGGTCATTTGGGGGAGTGGAGGTGTGGCTCCTACTCTTTCTTGTCCTTGGTACTAGATGGGGGTGAGTGGTTGGCATCATGCCTCGTCTGCGCTTTACTCCCAGGAAAGGGCCCCTGTACCCATTGGATAGGAGACTGGGTGGTCCCCAGAGCCGGTCTGGACACAGATGCTAGGAGAAAAATCCTCTGCCCCAATTGGGGATCAAACCCCAGTTGTCCAGCCCATAGCTAGTCACTATACTGACTGAGCTCTCTCGGCTCCCTCTACCCTCAAAATGGTAACTGTAGTGTTTGCCAAAAGGCAGGATAATTCTCAACATTTGATGTGGCTTGATCCCTAAAGTTGAAGTTACACAGTACTGTTTTGTCTTACCTCATCTGCCTTTGGTCAGCTGAGCACCATGCTTTTCATCATGTACCCCAGGAAATGTGCTTTATAGATTACCATGATGGCTACTGTACATGGCTACCATTCATCACTCAGAAGATTCCTATTGGTTCTGCTGGGTACAGATCAGAGGGCTTTGTAGATGCACCCACTGTTTTCTACAGATACTGTATCAGTGCCATGCACTGATACATGTGCAACAATGCCCTTGGATTACATTAGTGCAAGAATGACCTAACTGGGCTCAGATTACGTTTAAAAATAACTTAAGGCAGTGCTTCCCAAACCTGGATAAATTACCCAAAAAGGGGTAAAAGTGTTTTTTCTTTAGGTAATGACACAACTCGGATTACACATTAAAATTTACCGTAAAAGTGTAGAAGTACTCTGAAGAAAGCAATCAATCATTGTGCACCGATATTCTAAAACAGTCTAACAAGTATTTATTTGCTATTTAATAAATACGCCATACGCTTGTTAGTAGATTCAATCAATTTTGCCTCGCTCGCATGCACGTGGAGAATTGAAAAAATACGTCTACATGTACCACCCCCCTAAACTAAAGTTAGTGAGTCTAGTTGTCTAGTCTAAACTTTGGGTGCAGTATGTTGCTAGCTATGGCGGTGTGAGGTATGTATCACGCTGGCTGTGTTTATAAATTGTGCTGTGCACAATTGGAAAAGATAATCTTCATTATATTATTTTT